GATCCTGTCACTATGATCACCCACTTAGATGAATTCTCAAATTATCCCAAGATACACAGGTTTTGACCCCCGCTAAGAATCTCACTGATTGGTACATCAAAGACAGCCCAATCTGACACCTAGTGCTGTATCATAATTGAGTCTAGGGGTCAGGTGTAATTTTCCAGATTTGCCCATTAATCTCCAAGGTCCAGGGCAATGCTGGAAATCTGGTCCAGTTCAAAGATTCAATTAATCTTACACTGTATATGCCTAGGGTCTCACCCTGGCAACTGAGACAAGCCACCCCAACCGACTTGGTGGCACAACAGTGTCAGTCTTATCAGGATATGTCTCCCCAGACCGACCCACCGGCTGTGAACATTCTAAACTAACACGAGTCTCATTAAGTGTCCAGTTTAAGGGTATTACACAGAAACATACCAAGGGAACATGAATCAAATATGCACTTTTATTCATTTACAATAAACTCATAATGTACATCATTCTGATTAGAGTTAAGGGCATACAACTGTCTAACACAAGGCCTATTTCTGTTGACCTCATTTTCGGATGATTAAATTAAAGGAAAAATCTATGATACTGAAAAGACATGAAACTGGAAGAGATTTGACCAATCAAAATACCCCATGAATTTGATGAATATGATCTGATTGATCACCCCTTTTATGATAGCGGTTAATTGGATGTAAGTTTTTTTAATATCATAATCGAAAATTAAAATGCATCCCACTTTTAATATTACTTCTCGATCTTTTGCTTTTAATCTTACACATCAACTAGCCCCTTAGTTCATTGAGCAAAGTTTTGATGGAAGTGGGGATTTTACCCAATTACCCTCTCCATCAACATCAAGGCGTGATCAAATCACGTCAGCTTCTTTTTCTTATTCTTAAGAAAGTGCAGTGACAGCTTTTATAAATCGTTGCATTTAACCATTGCTTTCTCTCAATTTTTAGCTTTGATTTTCTGAGAAGCAGGAAAACGAAGCTAACCTTTCAGGTGAGAAACAACAGACCCACAATAGGTTGATGAAATTGGCGAAGCTATTGTAAGAAATGTTCTGTTTGTTTAATTGTTGTGTAAATTTCATTTACACCATGTAAAATGTATGGGAGTACAAATTAACTATGTAACTTTTGGTTTATTTGTGCTTCAGGATTTGACTTGTCTTATTTGTTTGATCGCACTTTAATTGATATGAAAGATGAGGAAGGTTATTTATTCCGGAGTATAATAGAAAGCAAAATGAAATGGTCGTCGGTACTTCTCGGTAATTTGGGAGAATGATGGTTCAGCTTAGGGTTAGAATTTTTAGGCCTAAAATACAGTTGGGATGGGTGTCAGCTCGAAATTGATGCTAATTCATGAGCGGGTATTGATGTATAAAGTGAGCTCTACAGTGAAAATAAAAAATCTACATTAAGCCTATCCATATTTCTCCATAATTTAAGATAGGATCAATGTGCAAATTTTGCATCGATTTGTCATATGCAAAATTTGCACTAATAATAAATGCAAAAGAGACAAGAAGTTCAATTTTTGCATTAGATAAGGAAGCAAATCATAGTCACAAACAAATGAATGTAAAACTGAACCGAATTCAAAATCTGTATCCATTTCAGATTTGTTTCCTGCAGTGTTCCAGAGACATTATTTTTCAAATAGACTCAGATTTTATGAATTTAATAAACTTTTACTACTTATTTTTGTGAAAAAATCTTTAATTGATAGGGTGGCTAGCATAGGGTTTGAAAACATGTCTGAATTCGAATCCGATCTAGTTGGGCCATTGGCACAAGTTAAAGTTGAAAATTTTAGTCATAAGTAGCTAACGCTGTGTTTGTTGGCAGTGTAAATCTCATCCATGTAAAAAGTCTATCGCCAGTTCAGTTTTGTCGACGTCTGTTTGCTGTGTAATTCAAAATCGATGTAAAACTTCACTCCCGGTTCAGATTTATTGGCATTTGGATAGACTGGAGTTTTGCATCGATTATCAATGTATAATCATGTTTTTCAAAGCTCAATGGTTCAGAGATATTAAACCTTCGGTGTGAAACTCCATCGATAGATGTTTACATTGATGAGATTTTACATTCCACCGCAAACAAACACAGCCTAAAGTTTTTCGGCAGCTATTTTAATTTTGTTTTTAGTTTGATTATTTTTAGATTTATTTTATTTATTTACTTAGGGGTCATTATGATAAAATCTCGGTCTGGCAAGCATGACAATGCCAAAGCTTAAGACCTATCCAATCTATTCCTCTCAAGACCCTAGATAATTGGGACAAATATCCAATTGAGGGGCCATTGTAAAATTTCAAGCTTACAAGCGTGAGAATACAGGTGCAAACCTGAAAGTGGCCACTAATAAAATGCCAAAGGATAAGACCATATTTTATATGCATTTGCATGGTATGTATTTGTTCCAAACTGAGTATTAATATGAGGATATTTTCGGAATATTAAGAGTTAAGAAGGTGACCCGACAGAGGGTAGGTAGGTAAGCAAGAGTAAGATGTGCATCAAGTATCAACTAAAAGAAACGAACTGAGAAGAAATTTCACAAAATTAAGGGATGTTTTAGTAAGAGAAGAAAGGGAGAAGTGAGGTTTGAATAGTTTTCCTCCTCAAATCTAAATTCGTCTATAAATAAGGGTAATTGCAGCGAGGCCCACCCGACCTAAACACAGCGACAGCCTCGAACAAATATATATTGAGTGGTGATACGTGGAGCATTTTCATTCCACAACAGTACCGGGAATCCGACGTGGCATCTACACCCGCCAGCGACTCTGGACTGTAAAACCGAGGTCTCCTAGAAATCTATCTGCTGCCGTCCGAAAACCACCGAGGTCTCCTATAAATCTATCTGCTGCCGTCCGAAAACCGTGTGTCCCTTTCACTCTCTCTCTCTCTCTCTCTCTAACCGAGTAAATTGACTAATTGGTATCAGCAGAGAGAGGAATCTTTGAGCACACAGAGAAATCAAAGCGAGGGAAACCCTAATTTCTCAGATCGGCCATGGCTTCCTCTAAGGAGCGCGATAGCTATGTTTACATCGCCAAGCTCGCCGAGCAGGCCGAGCGATATGATGGTTAGGGTTTTCTTTTTTTGGCATCTCCAGATCTCGTATCTGAATCCGTTTCTGTTCTTAATCTTTGATGAAAGCTAGGGATTTTGGCTTACATTCTTTGATTTTGGCAGAAATGGTGGATTCGATGAAGAAAGTTGCGAAGCTCGACGTCGAATTGACCGTGGAGGAGAGGAATCTACTCTCCGTCGGCTACAAGAATGTGATTGGGGCTCGCAGGGCTTCGTGGAGGATACTTTCGTCAATTGAGCAGAAGGAAGAAGCCAAAGGGAACGAGCAGAACGCGAAGCGGATCAAGGAGTACAGACAGAAGGTTGAGTCCGAGCTCACGAGCATCTGCAACGATATCATGACTGTGATCGATGAGCATCTCATTCCTTCCTCTTCTGCTGGGGAATCTACCGTCTTTTACTATAAGATGTGAGGGATCTTGTTCCCGTTGGTTATTGCTGGCTGTTTCCGTTTTTATTGGTGGGGTTCCAGGGGTTTTAGGGTTTGGAGTTTTGGCTGGTTGCAGGAAAGGGGACTACTACCGTTATCTCGCGGAGTTTAAGACCGGTAATGAGAGGAAAGAGGCTTCCGATCAGTCACTGAAAGCTTATCAGGTGTGTGCTTGTTGACTTTCTATTCTTTCTTTTGCCGAAGATTCTTTTGTTTTGGACATTCTAGTGGCATTTCTAATGTGATCAATCGGGTGTCTTCACCTGTCTGATCTGTGCTTGTTTTAGACGATTGGTAAACTTTAGATCTGACTGTTAGCTTTTAGTATGTCCAGAATTTTATGCTGTTACTTTATTGTGAAATGGTTGAGTAACTCGGTTAAGACAGGAAAGGGTATTAGGTTCACCAAGACCATACTTTGAATACCACATCATATTTAATTCCCTAACTCGAATCCACTCAAGCGTCTGAATTCTTCGTTCTCATTTCTGTGTTCAAACTTGGCATTCAAGAGAAGGTTGTTGAATACTCATTTGCAAGTCTAGATGACTAATGCTTACTGAGAATATTTTGGATATACTTATGATTAATGTTTAATTGTTTATTAAGATTGCTTTGGAGATACGTATGCCCAATGCTTATTGGAATTGTTTTGGAGCTACTTACGATCAATGTTTGTGCAAACATGTTTTGTTTATGCATAACGGCATGTGTTTTGTATTACTTTAATTAGGATGTTCGTTATTGAACATGTATTCTTCTCATGTACCCATATAAAAATTTGACCTTTTTGCTATTTACTTTTTTTGGCACCTTCTCATTTTCTTTGATGCTATTTGATCCTTTAGTTGCTTTCTATTTTATATTTGTTGGAAATTCTTATAGTAATTGAATCCTGGTGGGGTGTCTTGGTTGTACCAGTCTACCCTGTTCTGATTGAAATTGAAGTTGCGTTTGATATGATCATGACAGTGATCCTAACCTGCACTTGGCATCTTAACAAAAGAGGGTAGTAAAGTGTAGAACCTTTTTGTTACCTAGCATGGAAATGAATAAAAAGTAACAAGAAAAAGTGAGTGTAGACTTGGTACAACATAGTTGGATGTGAAGTTGGAGGCCTGATACTACCAAGTGATTTGCAACACTAGGAAAAGCATTCATTTCTCTGTGCCCTCTGACTCTATGACTTCTGAGTTGGTTTTGGTCTATATTATTTATTCTTTTTTATCATTGGTCTATATTATTTATTATTTTTTTATCGTTGATCTATATTTTGTTTTGCCCTGCTATATAGATCATACTGGCATGCAATGAGCCAGTATATTTTGTTTATTGGCTTAATTTGGTAATTTGTTTACAATGAGCCACAGAACTTTAACATAGTGTTACTTAATATCTGGTTGAAATATGGAGTGTAATTTGGTTTATTAAACAACAGATAAAATGAACATTGCTGCACGGCATTCACTAATTCTGCTTTTTGTTGCACTGTATGTAGACGGCCTCCAGTACAGCAGAATCTGATTTGTCTCCCACACATCCTATCCGATTGGGTTTGGCATTGAATTTCTCAGTCTTTTACTATGAGATTATGAACTCACCTGAAAGGTAAGATTTTAATTTTTCTATTATCCTTCTGAGTATAATATGATGATATGATCTTTCATTTAACACTGGGAACTTGATCTCACTGTTGCTGCTTATAACATAGAGCCTGCCACCTTGCCAAGCAAGCTTTTGATGAAGCTATATCTGAGCTGGACACCCTGAGTGAGGAATCTTACAAGGACAGCACTTTGATTATGCAACTCCTGAGGGATAACCTTACTTTGTGGACTTCTGATATCCCAGAGGATGGAGGTAATTTTCTAACCTTTTGCATGGCTGAACCATGTAGCTACTTTTATCTCTTTACAATATGCTATTGAGTTGCCACTCTTAAAAATTGTCATTCCGATGCATGATTGGCTGAACATTTTTCCCCACTAGTTTGATTTTGTTTCTATACCAAAATGCACACTTTTACACCCTGTGCTATTTGTCCTTTTTTTTTTTTGAAGACTGCTATTTGTCTTTGATATTTATACTTGAACGCATTATGACTCTTATGCTATGCGCATGCTAAATCATTGAACAAAAGTGCATAACTAGTGTATATTTTGTTGAATGGTATCAAACAGCCCAGTGAATTTAGGAGTTTTCCTCTTTTCCACAGGTGTCCAAGGTGACTCCTAATCACTGTGCAATTAACCTATTGCTGGTGCTTTCTTAGATCTGATTGTGTGTAGGATGAATTTGCATTGTCTTGGTTGTTCTGTTGATGATATTGGTGAAAAACATGCAATTTGATATTAGTCTGATGTTTACACTTCCAAATATTCCCAGACATGCAATTGGTAATCTTTTACCATTATATTGCATGCTAGTTGATATTAGTCTGATGTTTACACTTCAAACACATAAATGTAATTATCTAGCCTTGTTCATTCAGTTGTCAATTTGTGTGTATGACTTTGTGGGCTTCCACCACCTCGAGTATTGAGTAAGTGGCATTCACATATTTTTTTCAGTTCATCGATCATCATCGGTTTGCTAGTTTTGCAGTTTTAGTTTGTATTAGCGTCGGGCGTTAGCCTAGAATAACAGAATCTGTAACCCCTGTTTCGAATTAAGAAATGACCGACGCAAACATGAAAGTTGAAAAAAAAACTAAATCGAGTTGTAGTTTGTTTTATTCACTAATTAAAATTAAACTCACATTTGTCTGCAGCAGATGATGGCCAGAGGATGGAGACTTCTGCCAAGGCCGGAGGTGATGATGCAGAGGTGGGTTGCACTCCTGCTCAACCGTCATCGTATTATTAAACAGTTAGTAAAGTGTGATTTTTTTTCTTATATTGCAGTGAAGGGGAAGACAGCCATAAAGCCAGGAACCAGACAACCACTTGTAAAACGGGGAAGAGGAAAAGGGGTGTTCCCTACTTTCTTCTCATCTCTGGAATACTGTTTCCGTAATTAAAAAGGAGAATTTCAAATATCTATGATATTCCTTTGGTTCATTGTGTGGTTATTATTATTGCTACCATGATAGGTTGATGTTCGTCGAACTTGGTCAGTCCTGTTTGCACCCCCCCCCCCCCAAGGCTTTCTATCCTCCGCCATTTGGACGGAATTTAATAGGGTTGGTGTGGTTACTTTAGGAAGAAGATTTTTCTTTTTATATGAAAAATTGAGACGAGTTCAGGCTTCTCAGAGGGAGGACAACAACCACTCCTACCAATTTTAATTTTCTCCTTTCTCTTCTCTTTGCCTTCATTTTGTTTTTCTTTCCTAAGTAATTGTTATTTTCTTGTTTATTCAAACTTTGATGTTAAACCCGTAATTGCCACATCTAATCGAGTTTCATCCCGGTGTCTTTCGTATATTTACTATTTACTCTATAGAATTCTACAAGTTTGGCTTTTGGATTTGGACTGCGGTGCCTATCAAGTGGTATACTGTAACTCAAACACCTATAAACTAAAATGTGGGAACACCTTGCAAGGGCTCCCAATTCCCATACTGCACTTTGTTCTATCAAACCTTGAAAACCAGCCCGTTATGTATGAGCACTGGTTGACAGGTTCCATTAATACGTCAGCATTTTATTCCCTTTTCCTCTAGATTTCTACCCCAAGTCTACTGATTGCCTCCAAGTCATAAAATCTTCCAAAAAGTATCCACCTTAAACCGACTCTAATGGAGAATGTCTTCCGCCTCTTCGAGAGCATTTCCGTGTCAATAGAAACGGTTTGGAAGGAGTATATATACAAAATACAAAATATAAGGTTTTGCAATTTATATATTTGTATTTGTATTCTTTCAATCTGAGCCCTAGAATGCTTAAAACATCGGTGCTAATTCATTAGTTTAATCATTGGGAGTTCAGAACTCAGCGTAGAGGCCTAAGTTGTGACTCAACTGCATTACTATTGTGAATAGGTCGAGCTACAACTCTTGCCATGTGGATAAATCAAACTCCTAATGCTGTGTTTGGAGACAATGCAAATGGAGTGTAAATTCTGGTTCAGGGTAAATTTTGCACTTGGGTTTACTTTTGTCTATTTTTGGCAATATCACATTTATGTATTGTCAAATGACAGATCAATGCATATTTACATCGATAATAAGATGTAAAGGTACATTAATAAAAAAGAAGTTAATTTACATTTAAGTGGGCTTTTGATAAAAAAAAAAACGTATGTTTTATTGGAATTCATGTTTGCATCCATTAAAGTTAAAAGTCTGTTTAATAAGAAGATAAATTTGACAATTTATGTGAATCCTTTTACACTACATATTTGTATTTACACTTATTTGCATTATTTCCAAATGCAGCTTAAGGAAAAACAAAACCCATGAAACATTAATACTTCCAATAAATACTGCTTCACCAACCTATCCAGGCTAAGTATGAGGGGGGTTGAGATGAGATAATTGGGTCACCTCCTGGATGCCCGCTCAAACGAACGACTCTCTCGTCAAGTACAGCAACCTCCTTGATATTGAACTTATTGGGTAGAGTAAGACTGGAGATCGTAGACATGGGCATGACATCCAAATCGTCCATGACCATGACCATGTAAGTCACGACGCCCTTCACATATCCCCCTTCTCCGCTTGTGGCTCCCCCTTGACCTTGAAATCCCACGTACATCCGGTTCCCACACCCAGGGCAACGCGCGCCATCAATTTTTGTGTTTGTCACACGATGACATGTATACCCATTGCAATGTAATGTATTATAGACCTTTTTATTGGCAAGTAAAACAAAGTATATTAAAGGGAGGAAATATTTACATAATGCTCCACAAGAGGTATCCTTTTAAAATAACCATTGTAATCAAAATAGTCTTGAGTTACTGTTTTTGCTTTTTGGGATACCGTGTGGGCAGGAAGATTAAAAGTTCTGTTTATATATTTACATTACATTAATTTGGAATGCTTGGTTCTTTGCAAAAGCCAATGGCAGAACTAAGGGAACCTTGCAGTCTTTCCAGAGCCTGAATAACGATCTGATTATTTGAACATAGGCAGATGTTTCTTTCATTCCAATTTTGGAGTTCCAAAAAGACCTGCATAATTGCAAACAATTCAGCTTGATCAATCTCAGAAAGATAAGAAGATCAACCTCCAATAATTTTGAGGCAGTGCAAGTTGGTATTTAAGATTACAATACCAAAGGAGAATAAGGAGTTAGAAATTTTACCTGCATCTATGAAAACAATTAATTCAGTATTAGTGCAAATAGAGAGATTGAAAAGACCAGTATGCACAGTGGAGGAAGTTGAATCTTCAACAGCATCAGAAGCAGAAGAATGAAGAAAAATTTTACTGATAGAGAGTGTTCGTAGAGAAGAGGTCTGTGTGTTTTCAAAAATTCTCTTATTTCTGGCATTCCAGATATGGTAGCAAGCAATGGCAAACCAGCTTAGAATGAGACGCAGGAGGTGATTATCTTGGATTTGATTGCTGAGGTGATGGAAAAAAGATTCCCAAGTTTGATGAGGAATGATTGAAAAATCAATATTCCAAGGATTTACAAAAAGAATTGCTCGAGCAAAAGAGCAATGAAGGAAAAGGTGAATGATAGATTCTTCAAACTGGTTGCAGAGAGGACAAGTTCTTTCTGAAGGGTCCCTAAACATGATGCTTCGAACAGGGAGAAAATTATTAAAGAGTCTCCATAGAAACAGTTGATATCTTGGTGGTACAGGAAGTTTCCAAATTTTGAGGAAACAAAGTTTTACATTATCTGGGATATTAGGGATAGAAGGAGTTTGTTTAGCTTTATAAGCTTCTTTGACAGAGAAATTCCCAAACTTGTGAGGAAGACAAATCCAATGATGTTCATTAGTAGAAGAAAATATAGGAGTTTGGCAAATTTTGGTAGTCTCTTCTTGGGTGAAATATTGTTGAATTAAAACTCGATTCTAATGACCATCTGTAAACAAAGCTGATAGAGGGAGATTTCTCATCTAAGGAGAAACAAGAAAAGGAATGCAGTGAAAGGAGAAATCAGACTAAATCTAGGGCACTTGGGAAAGAGAAGCATTAGAGTTTTCACTAACCAAATAACCAACTTCTGAAGATAATTCTATTACCTTTGGAAAAATAGCTTTCCAACAAACAAAGGCATTGGCAGTAGTGGAATAAGGAAAGATGGACTCTGTTTTGAGGTATTTAGCTTTCTAGACTTGGGCCCAGAGTTTATGTTACTCATTTAGAAAGTTCCAGGCCACTTTCTTCAAAAGAGAATGATTTACCAGGGTTAAGTTTTTAAAGCCAAGACCACCAACAGATTTAGTAAAAGTTAGAATATTCCAAAAACACCAGTGTAAACAGTGTCTACAGGAGTCAGAGGTGTTCCACCAGAAAGCTTTAACTATTTTTGTGATTTGAGTAATGGACTTCTAGGGGAATTGGATTAGAATCATGGAGTGAATTAGGACAGCTTGAAGAACCAATTGAACTAAAATCTTTTTTCCAGCTCGACTGATAGTAGAGGCTTTCCACCTATTTAATTTAGCTTTTAAGTTGTCAAGAATGTAATTGAGTTGGTTATGTTTATTCCTTGACCAAATCAGAGGGATTCCAAGATATTTGGAATTGGGATTTAGAGAGCCCATACGAAGTTGCCTTTTGATCATACGTTGGTGCCTTGGGTGGATATTCTTACTGAAAAAGAGGCCTGATTTTTCAAAATTTATAAGTTGCCCTGAAGCTTGTTGAAAAGTGGACAGGAAGGACTGTAGATTATCTAGATCCTCTTTGTGGGCTCTAAGAAAGAGCATCACATCATCAGCAAACAGAAGGTGGGAAAAGGAAGGGGAGTTTACTGCTAGAGAAATTCCTTTGACTTGGTTCTCAGGTTCTGCTTGATAGAGGAACCGAGTAAGACCTTCCATAGCAAGGATAAAAAGATAAGGTGACAGAGGGTCACCTTATCGAAGGCCTCTAGTAGGATGAAAATGTCCTTCCTATGAGCCACTAACAAGAACAAAGTAGGAAATAGTAGAAATACATTCCTTAATCAATAGACAAAAATCTTCAAAGAATCCTAGGGAAGACAGAATTTGCAAGAGAAAATTCCATTCCAAGCGATCATAGGCTTTGGACATGTCTAAATTGATAGCCAGGTAGCTAGTACCCCTCTTTTTATGTTTCAGATAGTGAAAAGCTTCCTCGGTTAAGATAGTATTATCAGACATGTGATGGACAGGAACAAAAGCTACCTGATTTAGAGCAATACATTTATCTAGAAGGGTCCAAAGCCTAGAAGCAATTATCTTAGCTATGATCTTATAGGTAACATTACAAAGGCTGATGGATCTATAATCTTGAACTTTGGTGCAGTCAACATTTTTAGGAATAAGACAAATAAAGGTATGGTTGATTCGCCTTAGCAATTTCTTATTCCTAAAGAATTCTTAGACTACTTGGATAATTTGAGAGCCCATAAACTCTTAGCATTCCTTAAATACCAAAGAAGGCATCACATCTGGACCCGGGGATTTAAGACTTCCAATGCTGAAAAGGGTTTATTTGATTTCTTCTCTAGTGGGGATGCTCATTAGCAGAGAATTCTCTTCCTGGGAGATTATTCGGGGGGAAAGAGAGCTTAGGTTTTCAATGTCCTAGGTGCCCTGAGTAGAGAAAAGATCAAAGAAGTAATCCACAAAGATAGAGGCAATGTCATGGTGCTCTATTTTTCATTTATTGTTAGTGTTTTTAGTACCTGCTATGAAATTTTTGTTTCTACGACAAAGAGCACTCTTGTGAAAAAATTAGTATTTCTGTCTCCAAGGAGAAGCCAATTCTAGCGAGATTTTTGTCTCCAAAAACTTTCTAATTGCCAAGAGGCCGCTTCCAACTCTTTATACAAACTTTGAATTAACATATAATCTCCATTTTGTTCGACTTGGATGATTTGTCTCTCGAGTAAGTCTATCTTAATTTTGGGATCAATAAAATGATTTTTCCTCCAATGAATCAATTGTTTTTTTATTTCATCCAATTTCTTAGTGACTCGAAAAGCAGCATGGCCCTACACTTGAAAGTGCCAACCTTCTTCAACTAAAGATCTACAAGACTCTTCCGAGATCCACATTTCAAAGAATCTGAAAGGTATAGGAAGGTTGTGAAGCTTGGGATGCAGGTTGAGAATCAAAGGATGATGATCCGAACCCCATTTAGAGCCCAAGGACAAAGAACTATCAGGAAAGAGTTGGAGCCAATCCGGAGAGAGAATGGCTCTATCTAAGGTCCACTGAATATGGCCCATGGTTCTTTTATTTGTCCAAGAGCAACCCCTCCTTGGATATTTAGTTCAAGAAGATTATGAGTGAGGATCAAGTTTCTATATTGGGAGGAAGTTAGATGA